GACTCGACGGCACATAACAAGAACAACAACAGGAAACTCCCTTTCCACAGATTGGCTGTTCAAAGCATATACGTCTGCTCCCATCATTGGAAGAACCCACATCACAATTGCTTAAACCACACAGAATTGTGTGGTCCAGCAAAGTTGATACACAGCTCCAACTATCACGTCATGCCTCAGGAGTAACACAGAAATCCCAAAGTAAGAGGCAAGAGATGTCATTAGGTTGTGTGTACCACAAGTGACAAAAGACCATGGTGGCAATTGCTGCAGTGGACTCTAGTTTATAGTTGTGGTAGCAGCAGCAGCAACCAGGGATCTGGTTCCATGACCACAAGAGTGACATGAGCAGTTTGTTACTAGAACTGCTCTAGTCCAAAGTAAGGAGAGTACCTCAATCTAGCTTGCATTATGAGATAAATCCAGTGTATTGCTTCTGTTGTAAAGCACTTGGGCCTAGCCTGGCTAATAGAAAACAAGTAATAAAAATTTCCAGTGGTACAATTCTCACCTTCCATGAGGGAGACCCAGGTTCAGCTCCTTGCCAATGTACCTCATGTACAGCCACCACCTGTCTGTGGTGAGGTTTCACCAGACTTTCCAGATGAAAACAGACTAAGAAGAAAAGCCTGGTAATTTACTTTCAAAAATCAGGCAATGAAAATCCTATGTATCACAATGGCCAATGCCATAACTGATCATGGAAATGGTACAAGACCTAGTGGTGTTTTGTTCTTTTGTCCATGGAGTCCCCATAAGTCAGGGCCAACACAATGATAGCTAACAGTAAATTAGCATTAGTTATTAGTATTGTTGTATTGCATCTTATTTTCTCTAATAAAATGTAAAGTTTAAAGACATAGAAGATACCTTGTTTAGCTTTAAATCTTTCACCTATCCTTGTATTTTGTCAATAAGTATGTAGCAAAATTAGCAGAATTTTAACCTGTATGTAAGATAGAAGTGCTGCTACTTGGAGGCTAAATTAGATTGTATAGCAAATTAGCAAATTTCAGTTAGTATATTCTTTTTAAAGATATCTGGTAGCACAGTGCCTAAGGCATTTGACTGCTTACCAGAAGATTGGCAGTTGAAACCCACCAGCCATTCCACAGAAGAAAGAGGGGGCATTCTATGTCCATAAAGATTTGCCACCTTGGAAGCCCAGTGGGGGTCTCTATGAGTTGAAATTGACTCTTTTTGCCTTCCCTCAAAGCCCCCATACACTGTTTTAATTCATATTTCTTATTAGGGATGCTTCAATATATCTTAACTGTCACTGTGCTATGTCTAATTCCACAAAGTATGTTTGGGACTTAATATATTAAGATCCATCCTTTGAATTATTCCCATTAAGCAAATAAGTAGCCAGATCATTCTGTAAAGTACAGGTGCTCATGCTATATAGTCTATTCACTTTCTGAAATAGACTAATACATTCTGCATGAGCAGAAGCTTGTAGGTGACTTACAAAGGTCACTCTCACACATATCATTACAATATTCTAGCAGAGTTTACCAGACCATGAACAAAATGCAGAGGAAGAAAGTATGTTTGCACCATGTTATTAAGTGTCAGCTACTAAATCCTGGATAGGAATATTAACATATTAACTCAATAAGTTATTTGTCATCGTTGGGCTATGTTGAGCCAAAATAGCTAAACCAGTCCTCAGTCACTAGATGCATGCTCTGCCCTGGGAGGGATTGATTTCAGCCAAGGCAGCTCTCTGAAGCTGAGGCAGTACCTGAAACGATCTGTCTCAGTCACTTGCCTTGTGGCTTGCCTAGTGTAATGGCCCGGACCCTAAGGAATCTAGTTACCATTGCCTTCTTATACTGGGATTGCTGCACTTCCTCATCATCAAGAAAGTCAATTACCTCTGCCAGGATAATAATTTCCCTCCTTGTTTCTGGTTCCTGAAAAAAATACAAAAGTGTGAGGCATACCTTATAATGTAATGGTGTACTTACTGGGTCACCTGAAGAAAATGTGACCCCACTGAGGACATAGAATTTTAATCATCAGAGGTCAGAAATATAGAGATGGGATGCAAAATGATCCACTGTGAATCACTGGGATTGAAGGCAACTTCCACTTCCACTCTTAACTAATCTACTTATTTGCCCTATTGTGAACACATGCAATAGAAATATCATTGTTCATTGCATGTCTGTGTCTTGAATGATAGTATTAAATCCTTGTGGAATATTGCATCTGAGCTGGTGCTACAGCTGTGTCTTCAGTGCTCTTCAACGACTCATCAGGTTGGAAATTTCTGGGTAGTATAGCATGTGATTAAACTAATGAATACCATGACCATGGGCTTATTCCTGCACCTCTTTGCTACAAAGAGGATCTCCTGTCCTGATACAATGTTGTATGAGATCCCATACCAGTCAACCAAATACTCATAAGCCCTCAGATACTGATGCTGGATGCAGCCCTGAAGGAAGGAAAGGTAAACCCATATTCAGAATATGTCTATTCCACTAAAGATGAACCACTGGCCTTTTAATGATGGCTGGGCACATCTGTCTCTTAAAAGAATGGTACTATACTTAAGACTCAGTATTTGACTCTGTTGCTGACAGGTTTGATATTCAACAATGACAGAAACTAGATCAACCATGGTAAATTGGTATTCATGATAATGTTTCAGGAGTAGTCTCAAGTTGTGCCTTCATAGTCAGTTCATTCTTGAGCCTACTGTGCCAACACAGGTGTTGACAGAAGTCATTGACAGAAGTCAGCTGACCTCAACTAACTGAGACATTTGCTCAGATATTTAGTTCTTGTTCTGTGATGAATGCTATTTGGTGGGTGTTAACCTTTGCCCATTCCCATGTCTAACCACATGCCTCTGTGGCAGAATTATTTGTCTCCAATCTTCCAGTTTCATGCTGCAGGCTTCTGACTAGACAGCCAGCCTATTAGCCACTGTCCATGAGTCTATGTATATATTCTAACCACAGGCTATATGAAGCGAATGACCAAGTGCACTATCTAAAGCTCTGCTAAGTGTGAGAACTTTCCCTCAGCACTGTCTTTCAAGACCACCCAAATGAGACTGTATTTCAGCTACCATACAATTTAGGGTTTGTAACCACATAATGAACCAACCCAATCATAAGTCAAGCTCTTCTTTTTGCAGGCCATATGAGAATCCCCCATTCAATCAAAGAGGTGAACAGAGAGGAACCTCTAGCCATAGTGGATATCATGGAGATCTGGTCTACCTGCTCATGCAGCTTGCTTATGCCCTTTGGTCCTGCCCATGCATAATCCTTAATATACTACTTCCATTTTATAAGTTTGATTGTTTTTCCCCCGGGCCTTCCTTACATTGTGATCTGGTGGGTCTGACAGGGCCGAGCTCAGGATGGGTAATTCTGGCTGCATGGTCACTTAGTGTCTACAATCCAGCAGCATGCCAGCAGATGTTTATTAAAAGTGTATACATCTCTAATGCAGATGTCATAGTCTTCCTTTAGATCCCCAGTGGCCTGCATTATGATTATCCTACTCTGATTTGCCACAAACTCCACAGAGAACCATTCTTTTCCAATGATACCTCCAATACTATAGCATCTACCCTCTGGCCCAAGGAGCATTGCTGCTTCCACTACAGTGTAGACCTGTTGCAGAGCCCTTTCCTGCTGTGGGATTCACTAAAAAACTGGAAGCCTTTACTATCAACCAACAAATGGGTCAGAGCACTATCCTTCCAAAACAAACCAAGCTCACTGCCATCGAGTTGAATCCAACTCATTGCAACCCCTCTTTGGGTTTCTGGAAGAGATCCATATTGGTACCCATTCCAAAGAAAGGTGATCCCACAGAATGTGAAAATTATTGAACAATAAATATCATTAATATCGCATGCAAGTAAAATCTTACTGAAGATAGTTCAATAACAGTTGCAGTATTATATTGAGAGAGAACTTCCAGAAATGCAAGCTGGATTCAGAAGAGGATGCAGAATGAGGGATATCATTGTTGATGTCAGATGGATCTTGGCTCAAAGCAAAGAATACAAGAAAGATGTTTGCTTGTGTTTGGTTGACTATGCAAAAGCATTTGATTGTGCAGATCATAACAAATTATGGGTAATATTGAGAAGAATGGGAATTCCAGAACATTTAATTGTACTCATGAGGAACCTGTACCTTGACCAGGAGGCTGTCATTTGAACAGAACAAGGGACCCCGCATGGTTTAAAATCTAGAAGGGAGTGTGTCAGGGTTGTATCCTTTCTCCATACTTATTCAATCTATGTGCTGAGCAAATAATCCAAGAAGCTGGACTATATGAAGAAGAACATGGCATCAGGATTAGAGGAAGAATCATTAACAACCTGTGATCCACTGATGACACAACTTTGCTTGCTGAATGTAAGGATGACTTGCAGAACTTAGCGATGAAGATTGAAAAATACAGTCTGCAGTATGGATTACGTCTCAATATAAAGAAAACAAAAATCCTCACAACTGGACCTATAAGCAACATCACAATAAAAGGAGAAAAAATTGAAGTTGTCAAAGACTTCACATTGTTTGATTCTACAATTGATGCCAATGGAAGCAGGAGTCAGGACATTAGACAATGTATAGCACTGGGCAAATCAGCTGCAAATGACCTCTTTCAAGTGCTGAAGAGTAAAGATGTCTCCCTGAGGACTGAGGTGCACCTGAAACAAGTCATGTTATTTTCAGTCACCTTATATGCATGTGAGAGCTAAACAATGAATAAGGAACACCGATGAAAAGTTGATGCTTTTGAGTTGTGGTGCTGGCAAAAAATGCTGAAAGTAACATGGACTACTAAAAGATCTAACAAATCTGTCCTGGAGGAAGTGCAGCCAGAATCCTCCTTGGAAATGAGAGTGGCCAGACTTCATCTCATCTACTTTGGTCGTGTCAGAAGGGACCATTCCCTGGAGAAGGATGTCATGCTTGGTAAGTTGGTGGGTCAACGAAAGAGGAAAAGGCCCTCAATGTGATGGATTGATACATTGGCTGTGACGATGGGCTCAAGTATAGCAAAGATCATGGAGCTGGCATGGGACAAGGCAGTGTTTCTTTCTGCTGTGCATAGGGTCACTATAAGTTGGAAACAACTCAATAGCACCTAACAATGGGGTTGCTGAATCAAATGGTTGTTCTGGTTACCTAGTGCCACTATGACAAGAATATACCACAAATAGGATGGCTTGAACAAACACAGGAGTTTATTCTCTTACAATTTGGGGGGCTAGAAGTGCTGGGCTCTAAGGGCTGGGTAAAAGCTCCCCTCAATCTTGGCTTCACCTCTGCCTCTGCCTCCCGGACCACTGAAGCCAATGGCTTTCTTCATTCAGGCAGCTGCTGGATGCTAAGGCTGACAAGCTCAAGGACAATGAGAAAAAAATGCACAGTCCCAATGTTACCAAACCACATGGCAGGCCATTGATTCAAGTACATTGAGAGTCCCAAGGTTGGTAGAGCATGGCAGGCTGCTGAATGATGACATGACTACACGCAGGGTTCAAGCATGCCATAAGATGCCATAAGCTAGAGACCATTCCGCAAGGCTTCTCTTTGTATACAGGAAGCAGACCACATTCCTAAGGCAGCTACTCAGTTGCTCAGCATAGATTTCACCGTGGAGTTGATTACCAGTCTCATCATGGGGAATACTATGCCCGGCTACTCAACCAGGCCCAGCCAAGTTAACACACAGCCTTAACTTACCACAATGTTATTTATATTTCCAACATTTAAGGAATCACCATACCACTTTCCACACTGGTTGTATCATTTTACAGTCCCACCAGCAAAGTATGAGAGTCCCAATCTCTCCACACCCTCTCCAGCATTTGTTATTTTCTGTCATGTTGAATTTTACTATTAATGCTGGGTTGAGATGGCATCTCATGATTGTTTTGATTTGCATAACTCTGGGAGCTCTGGTAGCATAGTGACTAAGGCACTTGACTGCTAACCAGAAGGCTGGCGGTTCAAACCCACCAGCCACTCCCTGGAAGGAAGATGGGGCAATCTACTTCCATAATGATACTGCCTCGGAAACCCAAGGAGGGGTCGATATGAGTTGGTACAGCACATAACAACAACAACAATGATCGCAAATATTTCTTCATGTGTTTATTGGTTACCAGAATATCTTTTTTGGTGAAGTGTCTGTTCATATATTCAGCCCATTTTTAAATTGTATTGTTTGTCTTTTTGTTGTTGAGGTGTTGGAGTTTTCTAAAAATTTTAGAGATAAGTCCTTTGTCCAATATGTCATGCCAGATATTTTTTCCCATTCTGAAGTTTCTCTTTTTATTCTTTTGGAGAAGTCTTTGCTGCACATAAGAATTTAGGTTTTAGATGGTCCCAATTATCTAGTTTACCTTCTGCTGTTTGTGTACCTTAGGTTATGCTTGATAGTCTATTTATGCAATAAATTAAGACTCCTAAGTTTACCCCTAATTGTTCTCCGATGAATTTTATAGTTTTAGGTTTCACATTTAAGTCTTTAATCCATCTGGAGTTCATTTTTGTGTTTGGTGTGTGGTATGGATCTTGTTTCAATTTTCTGCAAAGGAATATCTATCTAGTTTTGCCAGCACCATTTGTGAAAGAGACTGTCTCTTCCCCATTGAATGAATTTTGGCCCTTTGTCAAAAATCAGCTGACCATAGGTCAATGGATCTATTTCTGGATTCTCAGTTCTGTTCCACTGGTCTATGTGCCTGTCATTGTACCAATGCCAGGTGGTTTTGACAACTGTGGCTGGATTTTAGGTTTTGAGATCCAGGAGTGTGAGACCTCCTACTTTGTTTTTATTCTACAATAGTGCTTTGCTTATTTGATGTCTCTTTCCTTTCCATATAAAACTAATGATTGGTTTTTCCCTGCCTTTGAAGAATGTTGATGGAATCTTGATCAGGGTTGAATAGAATGTATAGATTGCTTTGGGTAGAAGTGACATTTTCACAATGTTCAATCTTCTATCCACAAGCATGGAATGTTCTTCCATTTATATATGTCTCTTATAGTTTCTTGAAGTAGTGTTTTGTAGTTTTCTTTGTATAGGTCTTTGTGTTCCTGGAAAGATTTGTTTCCAAGGTTTTTTGTCATTGTTTTGGTTTTTTTTGTTTTTGTTTTTGTTTTTGTTTTTTGTAGTTATCATAAATAATATTGATTCCCTTCTTTTCTTTTCAGATACCTCTTCACTGGTGTAGAGGAATCTAATGGATTTTTGTATGTTGATTTTGTATTCTGCCACTATGCAAAATCTTTCAATAAGTTCCAGTAATTTTCTTGCTAAGTCTTTTGAGTTGTCTCTGTAAGGATCATATCATCTGCAAATAGGGATAGTTTTATTTCTTCCTTAACAATTTGGACTCTTTGATTTCCCTTTCTTGCCTTATTGCCCTGGCTAGGACTTGTAATACAATGT